CCAGAAATTGAAATGCCAATGGACAGAATGATTGTAAAGCATAACTTTACAAAAAACTTCAAAACTGAACTTAGCAACAAAAAGAACTGGGAAGGTTTGTCTAACACCCCAAAAATAAAAGAAACGACGATAACATGGTATACAGACGGCTCTCTCACCAATGAGGGAGCTGGAGCTGGTGTTTATGGACCAGGCAAAAAATACTGGGAAGCATTAGGAAACAATACAACCATCTTTCAAGCGGAAATATACGCGATAGATAGATGCGCCAGTTTCAATCTTGAACGTAACTACCGGAACCGTAAAATTAGGAATTCAATCCAACTCAGACTGCAGATACTGCAGGGAAGAGAGAGAAATGGCATACCATGCGCTTGGGGAGTGCCCGGCACTGATGCATAAGCGAAAGAAACACCTAGGAGGGTATTTCATGGATCATAAGGATTCAAGACTGGGGAAGAGAGGATCCATACTGTCTTTCATTAAAGAAATCGGACTTGGAGAAATACTCTAACCCGACAAAGGGGCACAATAGACCTTTTAGGTCGCAGTGCACGATCCCTTACTCAATAATAATAATAATAATATAAGAGAGCAAACACAGATTAGTGCCTTGAAAAAATTAAACATCATATTGGTTTATTGAAATTTGCTATCAGACAACTTAGAAGCAAATGGATATATAGAACCATCAATGAATCTGCAAAGGTTCTATAAGTAAATGCATTTGTTTGTAATCAATCAAAACGAACAATTAGATAAACAATTAGATAAACGAAAGTTAAAAATATTTGTATTGTCAGACTTTTGAAAATCATATAGAATACATATCTGACTTACTGGAGTTAACTTGACAACAAAAGTCTTTAGAATAATCGATTTTACAGGATAAAATGATCGAATATAGAAAACGAAGCAGATCGCTTACGTGTTAGGTGGATGAATCGTTGCCTTTGCTATGAATGGTGATTACCGAAATAATATACACTGCGAAGGAATGAACCAAAGGAGTGATAGAAGAAGTTTATCAGGAGTTTTGAAAAAATCCAATCACTTTTTAAAATTCTTGCAAGCAATTTTGTAAGCGAGTGATTTTAAAGCTTTAGAGTAACTTCTCTTTATTGTGTAAGACCTTAAAACTACATATATCAGTGATATAGCAAATATTTGTTTAACTTTAAATTTTAAAATAATTTTTTTACATATTTATTGATAATTATCTAAAAGGTAGATATTCCAGTGATATTGCAAATCATTGTTTAAAGTTTAAGAGTAACTATTCTTTATAAGTTTATTGTTTATTATCTCATAAGAAGATATTCCAGGTATATTGCAAATAATTGTTTCTAACTTGCTATAATAAATTTCTTTGATTAATTAGAGAAATTTTGTTTATTATGATTTAAACTTCAATTTGAAGTGCTGTACAAAGGAAAATATACCCACATATATATATATATATATATATGTATGTATATATGCATATGTAGATTCGAACTATAAGTGCAGAGTTGATTTAAAATAATTTTGTCTTTCTCAATAACTGCAATTATGCACTTGATTGCTTATATTGGTACGTATTTAATAATAATGGAATAATTTATATAAATGTAGCATAAGCCATACAAATACACTACGATATGTAAAATAACAAGCATTTGTTGCATAAATTTATTCAGCCTTAGACTTAGCTTCAGCCGTAGCCCCAGCCTAAGCCTCAGCCTCAATCTTAGTCTTAATCTTTGTCTCAGCCTCAGTCTTAGTATCATCCTTCCAACGTCTGAACTTCTCGGTTATAGGTTTTCAACTGCATTTGCTGGAAGGATATAGTCACACACGTGCGTGTATATACATACATGCTTTAAGGAGAATAAGACCGAAACACATAAAATTATGTGGCAGAAGTGTAAAGGCAATATTCGAAACATTAATACCACTTAACGATTTAAACCTTTTGCACATGCCGCTACATACCACTCGAAAGCAGAATATAGTACTGTATGCTTTCCCAAATAAATAGTCCACAAAGTCCTTTTCCATGCATGTGGCGCACTGCCATAAATTTCCTACAATGAAATTCAGAGAAATTTATTTTTGCCAGAAATTTGCATAAAATTAAAATGAAAAGCGAAACGAAACGAAAACTTCTGCATTTTCTGCAAAACATAAAATTAACAACAAAAATAATTCACAATTTATATGCAATTGTAGAAAAATGTAGGACATACAAATTGCTTCGCACTGTTGTTTTAAATTTCGGGTAATGAAATACGAGTACATGGGCATTGCCTTTGGTTTGGTGCATAATGGAATTAATGCGAATCCTTTTGCAGATGCAAAGTTGATCCTTCTTTTTGTAAGGCTTTGTGGGCATACTTGTGTGTTGCTACTCACTTGTAACGTATCCAAGCTTTGAACAGGTGAAAGTGGTAGGGTGAGGGCTGCAACATATAACGACATTTGTCTGGTTGCCATTGGAGCATTTCAAGCCCTCAAATTATTTGATAAGTATTTCAGTAATGCTGTGTGATATTAAATCAGTCTAATGACAAATTATCAGTAAATCAAATTTATATTTGAAATATATGCTTTAAATTAATATCAATCAAAACTTATGTCAATTTCACATGCACTTATGTCAGATGCTTAGACTGTAACATGACAATATTTAAACTCTCTGACACGACATTTATTTAATTTTTATACTATTTTATTACTTCAATTAATTAATTTGAAAATATTGCATTTTTAAGTATGTATGCACATAAAACATTTGCATTTGAATTAATACACTCAGTAAAATAATTTACTTGATTTAACCAGATTTTAACTAAATCTCAGATCCTAATATTCTTACTCGACGCATTATGCTGATTTAACCATACCACATGCAAGTTTCTATATCTCCTTTACTACATGAGCTATGGGTCTGTCCGAGGAGACGGATTGTCGACTTTGCTTAGAAGCAGACGAGACTACCAGTCACATTCTCTGTGAATGCACAGCCTTGATCTGGGTAAGGAAGAGGTCACTGGGAGGAGGGCTGCTCTCTTCTTCTGACATTAGGAGGTCCTCAGCGGACGATATTTTGGCTTTCATTCGAAAAGCGGAATGTCTTCTGTTCGGTTAGGGTCAGTTGCAGCACAGAAGATCAATCTGGTCGAAGTGCTCTGCTCCATTGGGAGCTTGTACCCCGTTTATTTTTAATTCTAATTCTAAATACTACATCAGCTAAAATTTTTCCAACAAAATTATCAGGTCAATTTAATTAGTATTTGGTTAAAGCATATTTTTCTGAGTCCATACACAGTTTTTCATAGATCCGATTAGACTCGTTTCAGAAGAAACTTTATATTTTTATCAGTAAAGTATTATTTCGGCTAGTCTAATCTTATTGTTGGGATGAAAAAAAAATCCCTCCTATTTTCTCTTGTCGTGTTTCCATCTAGAGCCACCTTACTGTCGGGAGGTAGTGTCCAATCATTTTTACTTACGGATCCAAAATAAGTAGTGGTGTAGGCAGTGGAATTTTCTCAGAGAAACTGAACAAATCTTTTTATTGTCGTTCTCCGGATCATTGTACAGTTTTTCCAGTGGAAGTGATTACCATTAGGGAAGCTATAGCTTCTTGATAGTGGATAATATATTTAATATATATACATTATCAGACAGTCAAACTACAAGTTCTTGAGTTCACTCCAATTTATATTTAGAACGCTTTCTCTAATCTGTGTCGCCGATCATAACGATATTTTTCGCAATTGTAAAACAGATCGGATCACGTAAACAATCTGAACAGATCGCTGACAACATGAAAATTGTTTTTCATTTCTTTTGTGCTGATAAATGGGAATACTCAACGATATATTAGCATCGATATGCAACTTAGCCACGTTCAATTAAAAAGAAATCCAATTCTCTTATTGACTAAGATGACCCTTAGTGACTTGTGGTGGGTTTATTTACAGGTTATTGTAGATTAGATAACCATACTAGAAGATTAAATCAATTATATTTGTAGCAGCTGTGGGGAAGATGATAAAAGTGTCTCTCATCTGCTTTATCTTTGCCAGTTTATGCACGACGGCTAGTCAACACTTTAGATCTCCCTTTATTGGAGAATCTTGATCAACTTCAAGACCGCCTACAAAAAAGCATTTTAAGCTTCGCCAAATGTTTCAGATGGTTTCAAAACCCGAGTTTTTCCATCATACGGTAGCACAGTGGGGCAATAGGCGTAAGTGGATTCCTTTTGGATCGCCGATATAACTAACCTAACCCAGTCCTGTCTGTTTGTCGCACTGCCAGTGCTGTCTAAAGTTACTAAGTTTCTGAACTATTCGAATTAAAGTTTGAGCATAGTTTTTTAGATGCTGACTGTTATTATTTGACGGATTGGCTAAAAGCGGTAAAATAAGGTGCAAAATGTACATTTATTGGTTCAGAGTTTATATATAAATAGCATACAAACTGCCGATACAAATATATGTTTTTGTTAGAAAAATTTATTTATTTTCTGATTAAAGACAGCGAGAAAATTAAGTATAATTTATGGAATACCTTTCTTAATTTGCTTACGTTCAGATATTACTAATGTTTTCGCTACTAATTTAGAATTGAAGTACCCGGTAAAAACAGAATTTTCGTGGTATAAATAATATCGATCGGTTTAGATTTAGATGTAGTTGCCTTCCAAACCAATAGTTTAAATTTATATTATTTTAGGAATAACTTTTTTTTATGTTTTTACCGAAATTTGATTTTTGGTAGTAACATTACAGAACTCAAATATTCTGCATGAAATTTTACTTCAATATTATATAACTTATTTGTTTTTTCTACTCTTAACCAAGGATTAAAATGGCACAAGTTATTTTAGTTTTAATTTTTTATTCGAGACTTTTAAAAGACTTAATTTTAACTTTAATTAATTTTATTTATTCTTTTAAAGTTGATCACATTTATATAACATTATTTATTAAAAATAATTATAAAGTGATTTAATGCTGAAACATTTTTTTGAATGTTTCCAAATCAAGAGGTGGAATGTTATCCGCTTTCATCTTGGCCTCCAAAGCTAGCAGACGAAATATATAAAAGCATATCAAAAAAACTTATATTGGTATATATATACATTACCTTTTATATTGTCTTCCATTTCGTTTAAAATATTCTCTACTGCCTTTTGCTCTGTAGTGACATGATCCAATAAATTACGTTTACATATCTCCATTGTTACTTCCTTCTGTATTCCACTAGTATTTTTAATTAATTTTATTTCCTCTTTGTTCGATTTCTTTTCATCCCATTTGTGGGTCCACAAATGTGATTTAGGATCTTCATCTTTCCCAACAATATCTGTCTTTACTTTCAAAGACTTTATCGACTCCTTAACTTCGATTAAATTTCCTGTGAGATCATGAACTGTTTTTAGAACATCAGACTGATGAGTTAACACAGGTGTTTCCTTATCATATTTTATTGCTGGCAATACACCATTGAAAAGCCAATTTTCATATATTGGGCTTGATAGGTGTTTGTAGGCATGGGAAGGTCCGGGCCCATCATCAACAGCATCACAGGACTCTTTTTTATTGTTGTTTTCCTTCTTTTCTTTATCAGTTTTATCGACACATTTATAAACTCTATATCCTGGCAAATTTGGGTAACCCTGTTCTTTACGAGCTATCAAGAGATCCACAAACTCCTCACTATTAACAGATACAGGTTCTTCCGTGTGATTAGAAGAACATGTAGGATCAGCAGGATATGTAGGGTTTGTAGTTCCTTTACGCTTTCTTTGAGTTTTCGTTTTAACAGCGGCAGCATCTTTTCTCCTAACATACTTCCTCTTTGGTTTCTGATTCATAGCTTTGTCTGTTTGAGAATTAATATTTTTTCGCGGACGACCAACGCGTCTGCGTGGCGGAACTATTATAGAACTTTCCATATTATTACTACTTGTTTCATTTTTATTTAAAGAATCAAAGGAGTACCATGTGTCAGAAATTGCCATGTTCTCCTTAGTTGCATCAGTATCATTCAAAAATCCAAACGGCAGCTGAATTGTAGAATACGGTGTGGTCTCTTCGATAGTTTCCACATCAATAAAATCATCATCCTGAGTTACGTCAAATTTATTCAGAGATTCAACTGACGGGCTCATTGCAAAACCATCCAGATAGTGCAATCCTGTAGAACATTCAGTAGTTTCAAAACGAATCAAAGAATGCAATATTGGCGTCTTTTCAGAAACCTCTATGACCTCTTCATCTGTGTTAAGTTCAATTAAAGAATTAAATGATGGTGTCATTATCAAATCCGTTGTGTTCTTCTTACTACATTCAATATCAAGCAAGGAATCAAATGGTAGCATCATTACAGAACTCTCCATTTTTCTGTTAGTAGAACCGTCCATATTCTTATCATTCACCCCTATATCAATTAAAGAATCAAATGGTGGCGTCGTAACATAGTATCCTATGTTCTCCTCAGTATCATCAATATCAATAACACAATCAAATGATGGCGTTATTACAGGAGTCTTTATACACTCCTTAGTAGCTTCAATATTAGAAAAATATTTATATGATGGCACTGCTATAGAATCCTCAATATTTTCCTCAGTAGCTTTAATATCAATAAAAGAATCAAATGATGGTGCTATTATCGAACTCTGCACCTTTTCCTCACAAGGTTCAAAATCAATCAAAGAATCAAATGATGGCGTCATTATAGAACTCTTTATCTCTTTCTTAGTAACTTCAAAATTAGAGGAGAAATCAAATGATGGCATTATTACAGGAACCGTTATCTTCTCGTCAGTAGCTTTAATATCAATAAAAGAATCAAGTGGTGGTGTCATTACAGAACCCTCCATATTTTCCTCAGTTCCCTTAATATCAATAAAAGAATCAAATGATGGCGGTATTACATAATCCTCAATATTTTTCTCAGTAGGCTCAAAATCAAAAACAGACTTAAGTGGTCGTATCGTTACAGAACCCTCCACCTTTTTCTGAGTTTCTTTAATATCAATATAAGAATCAAATGATGATGTCGTTGCAGAACCCTCCATCTTTCCTTTAATATCAATATAAGAATCAAATGATGATGTCGTTACAGAACTCTCCATCTTTTCCTCAGTAGGTACAAAATCAATCAAAGTATTAAATGATGGCGTTATTACAGAACTCTTTTTCTCTTTCTCAGTAACTTTAAAATCAGAATTGGAATCAAATGGTGCTATCGTTACAGAAACCTTCATCTTCTCGGCAGTAGTTTTAATATCAACAGAAGAATCAAGTGGTGGTGTCTTTACAAAACCCTCCATATTTTCCTCAGTTTCTTCAATATCAATAAAAGAATCAAATGATGACGGTATAACAGAATCCTCAATATTTTCTTCGGAAGATTCAAAATCAATAAAAGAATTATATAATGGTGTCGTTACAGAACCCTCCACCTTTCTCTCAGTTTCTTTAATATCAATATAAGAATCAAATGATGGTGTCGTTGCAGAACCCTCCATCTTTTCCTCAGTAGGTACAAATTCAATCAAAGAATCAAATGATGGCGTTATTATAGAACTGTTTTTCTCTTTCTCAGTAACTTCAAAATCAGAAAACGAATCAAGTGGTGGTGTCGTTACAGAACCTTCCATCTTTTCCTCAGTTCCCTCAATATCAAAAATGGACTTAAGTGGTCGTATCATTACAGAACCCTCTACATTTTTCTCAGTTCCTTTAATATCAATCAAAGAATCAAATGATGGCGGTATTATTGAATCCTCAATATTTTCCTCAGTTCCCTCAATATCAAACATAGACTTAAGTGGTCGTATCGTTACAGAACCGTCCATATTTTTCTCAGTTTCTTTAATATCAATAAAAGAATTAGAGGATGATGTCTTTACAGACCACTCCATTTTTTCCTCAGTAGATACAATATTAATCAAAGAATCAAATGATGGCGTTATTAGAGAACTCTTTATGTCTTTCTCAGTAATTTCAAAATCAGAAAACGAATCAAGTGGTAGTGTCGTTACTGAAGCCTCCATATTTTTCTCAGTTCTGTTAATTTTAATAAAAGAATCAAATAATGGTGTCGTTGCAGTACTCTCAGTATTTTCCTCAGTTCCCTCAATATCAAAAATGGACTTCAGTGGTCGCATCGTTACAGAACCCTCCATATGTTTCTCACTTTCTTTAATATCAATAAAAGAATTAGACAAAGGTGTATTTACAGACCACTCCATTTTTTCCTCAGTAGAAACAAAATCAATCAAAGAATCAAATGATGGCGCCATTATAGATTTCTTTATGTCTTTCTCAGTAACTTCAAAATCAGAAATGGAATCAAGTGGTGGTGTCGTTACAGAACCCTCCATCTTTTCCTTAGTTTCCTCTATATCAAAAATAGATTTAAGTGGTCGTATCGTTACAGAACCCTCTACACTTTTCTCAGTTTCTTTAAAATCAATAATAGAATCAAATGATGATGTCGTTGCAGAACCCTCCATCTTTTTCTCAATAGGTACAAAATCAATCAAAGAATCAAATGATGGTGTTATTATAGAATTCTTTTTCTCTTTCTCAGTAACTTCAAAACCAGAAAAGGAATTATGTGGTGGTGTTTCAGAAGTCTCCATATAATTAGTTCCCTCAATATCAATAAAAGAATCAAATGAAGGTGTCGTTAGAGAACTCTGAATATTTTCTTCTATAGGTTCAAAATCAAAAATAGACTTAACTGGTCGTATCGTTACAGAACCCTCTACATTTTTCTCAGTTCCGTCAATATCAATAAAAGAATCAAATGATGATGTCGTTACAGAACCCTCCACCTTTTTCTGAGTTTCTTTAATATCAATATAAGAATCAAATGATGATGTCGTTGCAGAACCCTCCATCTTTCCTTTAATATCAATATAAGAATCAAATGATGATGTCGTTACAGAACTCTCCATCTTTTCCTCAGTAGGTACAAAATCAATCAAAGTATTAAATGATGGCGTTATTACAGAACTCTTTTTCTCTTTCTCAGTAACTTTAAAATCAGAATTGGAATCAAGTGGTGCTATCGTTACAGAAACCTTCATCTTCTCGTCAGTAGTTTTAATATCAATAGAAGAATCAAGTGGTGGTGTCTTTACAAAACCCTCCATATTTTCCTTAGTTTCCTCAATATCAATAAAAGAATCAAATGATGACGGTATAACAGAATCCTCAATATTTTCTTCGGAAGATTCAAAATCAATAAAAGAATTATATAATGGTGTCGTTACAGAACCCTCCACCTTTCTCTCAGTTTCTTTAATATCAATATAAGAATCAAATGATGATGTCGTTGCAGAACCCTCCATCTTTTCCTCAGTAGGTACAAATTCAATCAAAGAATCAAATGATGGCGTTATTATAGAACTGTTTTTCTCTTTCTCAGTAATTTCAAAATCAGAAAACGAATCAAGTGGTGGTGTCGTGACAGAACCTTCCATCTTTTCCTCAGTTCCCTCAATATCAAAAATGGACTTAAGTGGTCGTATCATTACAGAACCCTCTACATTTTTCTCAGTTCCTTTAATATCAAGAAATGAATCAAATGATGGCGGTATTATTGAATCCTCAATATTTTCCTCAGTTCCCTCAATATCAAACATAGACTTAAGTGGTCGTATCGTTACAGAACCGTCCATATTTTTCTCAGTTTCTTTAATATCAATAAAAGAATTAGATGATGGTGTCTTTACAGACCACTCCATTTTTTCCTCAGTAGATACAATATTAATCAAAGAATCAAATGATGGCGTTATTAGAGAACTCTTTATGTCTTTCTCAGTAATTTCAAAATTAGAAAACGAATCAAGTGGTAGTGTCGTTACTGAAGCCTCCATATTTTTCTCAGTTCTGTTAATTTTAATAAAAGAATCAAATAATGGTGTCGTTGCAGTACTCTCAGTATTTTCCTCAGTTCCCTCAATATCAAAAATGGACTTCAGTGGTCGCATCGTTACAGAACCCTCCATATGTTTCTCACTTTCTTTAATATCAATAAAAGAATTAGACAAAGGTGTATTTACAGACCACTCCATTTTTTCCTCAGTAGAAACAAAATCAATCAAAGAATCAAATGATGGCGCCATTATAGATTTCTTTATGTCTTTCTCAGTAACTTCAAAATCAGAAATGGAATCAAGTGGTGGTGTCGTTACAGAACCCTCCATCTTTTCCTTAGTTTCCTCTATATCAAAAATAGATTTAAGTGGTCGTATCGTTACAGAACCCTCTACACTTTTCTCAGTTTCTTTAAAATCAATAATAGAATCAAATGATGATGTCGTTGCAGAACCCTCCATCTTTTTCTCAATAGGTACAAAATCAATCAAAGAATCAAATGATGGTGTTATTATAGAATTCTTTTTCTCTTTCTCAGTAACTTCAAAACCAGAAAAGGAATTATGTGGTGGTGTTTCAGAAGTCTCCATATAATTAGTTCCCTCAATATCAATAAAAGAATCAAATGAAGGTGTCGTTAGAGAACTCTGAATATTTTCTTCTATAGGTTCAAAATCAAAAATAGACTTAACTGGTCGTATCGTTACAGAACCCTCTACATTTTTCTCAGTTCCGTCAATATCAATAAAAGAATCAAATGATGATGTCGTTACAGAACTCTCAATATTTTCCTCAGTTTCCTCAATATCAAAAATAGACTTAAGAGGTCGTATCGTTACAGAACCCATCACATTTTTCTCACTTTCTTTAATATCAAGAACCGAATTAAATAATGACGGTATAACAGAATCCTCAATATTTTCTTCAGTTCCCTCAATATCAAAAATAGACTTACGTGGTCGTATCGTTACAGAACTCTTCATATTTTTCTCAGTTTCTTTAATATCAATAAAAGAATTAGAGGATGATGTCTTTACAGACCACTCCATTTTTTCCTCAGTAGATACAATATTAATCAAAGGATCAAATGATGGCGTTATTATAGAACTGTTTATGTCTTTCTCAGTAAGTTCAAAATCAGAAATGGAATCAAGTGGTAGTGTCGTTACAGAACCCTCCATATTTTTCTCAGTTCCGTTAATATCAATAAAAGAATCAAATGATGGCGGTATTTCAGAATCCTCAATATTTTCTTCGGTAGATTCAAAATCAAGAAAAGAATTATATGATGGTGTCGTTATAGAATCCTTAATCTTTTCCTCAGTAGGTACAAAATTAATCAAAGAATTAAATGATGCCGTTATTATTGAACTCTTTTTATCTTTCTCAGTAACTTCAAAATCAGAAATGGAATCAAGTGGTGGAGTCGTTACAGAACTCTCCATCTTATTCTCAGTTTCCTCTATATCAAAAATAGACTTAAGTGGTCGTATCGTTACAGATCCTCCTACCTTTTTCTTAGATTCTCTAATATTAATTAAAGAGTTAAATGATGGTGGTATTACAGAGTCCTCAATATTTTCGTCAGTTCCCTCAATATCAAAAATAGACTTAAGTGGTCGTAACGTTACAGAATCCTCCATATTTTTCTCAGTTTCTTTAATATCAATGTAAGAATCAAATGATGATGTCGTTACAGAACCCTTAATCTTTTCCTCAGTAGGTACAAAATCAATCAAAGTATTAAATGATGGCGTTATTATTGAATTCTTTTTCTCTTCCTCAGTAACTTCAAAATCAGAAATGGAATCAAGTGGTGGTGTAGTTACAGAACCCTTCATCTTTTTCTCAGTTTCCTCTATATCAAAAATAGACTTAACTGGTCGTATGATTACAGATCCCTCCACCTTTTTCTGAGTTTCTTTAATATCAATAATAGAATTGAATGATGATGTCGTTACAGAACTTTCAAAATTTTCCTTAGTACTCTCAATATCAAAAATGGACTTAAGTGGTGTTGTCGTTACAGAGCCCTTCACCTTTTTTTCAGTCACTTTGATATTAATTGAAAGATTGGATGGTGGTGTTACTACAGAACTCTCAATGTTCTCCTCAGCACCTTGAACTTTACTTAGAAATTTATGGGGTGGCTTTTTTGCAGAGTCTTCTATGTTCTCCTTAGTAGGGTCAATTATGCGTAGAGGATCAGACGGTGTGCCCATTTCTGAATGCTCAATGTTCTCTTCAGTTGCGGTAATTTTATTAAAAAAAAATATATTAAAAAATATATATTTATATTAACAAAATAATAAAAAATTAAATAGAATGGTAAGAATGCAATAAATACTGCAATATAAGTGATTAAAGAACTTACGCATTTTAAAAGCCTTTTTTTTCACAAATTATTCAAATCAAAACGCAAGAATGATATGACTAGAAGAATATCAAATGACAATTATTAGCTCAGATTTTTAACAATGTTTCTCAAATTTTTATTTCCAAAATGTACTAGATTACTGTAAATAGTTCTGTCATGGCAGTGTTTCAAGTGGGAAAGAATAATTTCTTGTATGTTATACGAATATTAGGTCATATGGCTATATGTGAATATATATAATATTATAAATATATATGTATATATGATTTGGTGACACACTGATGAGGTTAATTTACTATATAAAAAAATATAAATTTATAAAATAACATTAAAAAAATTAAACAAAAAATGTGTAATTATATTCCATCTCATGAAAAGCTGGCTTGGCATATGTGAGATAAATAATTCAATGTAAATGAACAATTGTAAATAAAGATTATGATTCAAAACTAATTACATAGTTTATAATAATTTGATTAAGTTTGGAAATAAAATATTTATTTAGGATGTGTGAGTATTATTTAAAATTTTGAAAAATTTTAAATCTATGTTTTATAAACGAAAATGACTTCAAGGTATAGTTGGTTGATTATAACGGCAAGTCAACAGATACTCTCTCCGGTGACCACATTTATTTTACTACCAAGTCAGTATCAAGAAAGAGTAAAAAAGAATATGAAAACTAAATCTCACTTGATGAGTTTAGTTAAATTAATTGTTCTTTCGTCTTTACTGATGAACTCTCTAACAAACCTTTAAAAAATATATTCTTGAAATTCCAACATTTTTTCAAAAACATTTTGCGTCACGGTAACTTTGTCTACATCGGTCGATATTCACATCAAATAAAGTATATATAACACAAAATAAATTAATATAATCCTCTATTAGCAGAATTGCAGAAGCTTCAGGTAAGAACCGAACATTTTTGAAATTTATGTCCTGATCTGGCGAGGCTAAGACATTCTATTGTGGAACTTTGGAACTCTACGAACAAATTGAATTGAAGAATATTCCAAAAAATCCAAAAAAACAACTTTAGTAACCTGTGCAATTTGGTTTCAAAATCAAGGATTTCATATCCAGGGTTCCGCCATTATATTATAAGGTATTACATTTAGAAACATGAGAGATGTGAACATATTGAGGTATTAAAAAGGTAAACTAAAAATATACATTTGTGGTTTTTTATTAAAATATAGTGCGGCCATTACAGACGTGTGTCGTCCTTGGCCGCGTCGAGTAGCCTCCGTCAGTCAGCCCGATTAGTTGCTTTCTGACGCCAGTTGGTAGTACCGAGCGCCCCCAAATCGTTGGTCACCTGGTCCTGCGGTCACCTGCGGACGTCCTCTACCGCATTTTCCACCTGCGGGTATGAAATCAAACACCTTTCTAGCCGAAGCACTTTCTTCCATTCGCACGACATGACAATGATAAGAGATAGGCATGATAAGGGATTTATAGAGCGTGATTTTTGTTTGTCGAGAGAGGGTTTTATTTCTCAATTGCTTACTTAGCCCGAAGTAACATTTGTTGGCAAGAGTAATTTGTCGTTGAATCTCTAGGCTGACGTCATTTTTGGTGTTTAAGCTAGTGCCTAAATAAACAAAGTCTTTCACAACTTCGAACTTATAATTGTCAACAGTGACGTAGGTCCCAAGACGCTCAGGAGATTTGTTTGTTGACAGAAAGTACTTTGTTTTGTCCATTTACCGCATGTTCCGCATGTTTGTTCACAATAAATTGACTATTATTAGTCAATATATGGATGCACTGTTGCCATCAGGAAATTGGTTGCAGTTTAGTTGGACTTTTAATGCATTTAAAAATATATTTAACCACATTTTTTCAGCTGAGTTAACTTGAATAGTTAAAAGCAAAATTGCTATAATTATTAAAAAATCACTATTAGTTTTTAAGGAAGGAGTAATTATTATGACACATATTTAAATAATTACAGGCTAAGTAATGGACATTTAAGACAAAGTATTTCAATCCATATAGCTATTCGCTTCAAAATAATAGGTACTGTTTTATGTGAATGTTCGGGTGTGTTATTTAAATATGTCAACCACAACACAGGCGCTATGCACATATGTGGTTCACATCTGATGCATATCCTTGCACAAGTCTCTGTTTATAAACGCACACTTAACACTTCAGTGCAAAAGCGGTTTTGTCAACGATGCAATACTCACATAAGCCTACCCATCTCTATGGCATATGTTATTTGCAGTATATACTCGAAACTGTAAGAGCTGTAAGGATGTGCATCAGTTGCACTCTGTGAATGCGTTTATTAAAACTTATTGACCAAAAGTTTATGCAGCAAATATAAACATGTTCTGAGCAAATGTTGTTCTGATTAGCAACACCTAAGCCATAAGTTGGTAATCAAATTAAGGTCAGTCCGAATTATGCTTATTAATTGAACGGTTTTTAGGGTCGTGTGATGGCCGTTGTTGTTGCTGTGTTGTTGCTACTCAAGGAAGAGATTCGTGAATACTGTGAGATACTCGATGTGAAATTAAGCTTGAGGATAACTGTGTTTTACTCAGACGATCTAATATATTTGGTTGAATTTACGAAATTAATTTTGTGAAATAGTGCTGATTTGTATATAACATCACTAAAGCTTGAAAAGCAAAGCATAATTCATTTATCATAATTGTTGGTGTGCAACGTCATTACAACAGGGATTGAACACGCTGGATTACTCTTTGTGGAGTAATTTTAGTAAACCAGTTTTCAGTGCAGAGCACTTTGCATGGCTTTTAAAGATTTGTTAATCTTAATATACTTGTACTTAGCTCACAACGTTTTCGATTGAGAACTTGTAAATCTGGAGTAGCATTTTTACTTGAGTTTCACATTTAGCGCCTTGTTTATTTTCGAATGGTAAATCTCGAGCGAAATGTATAATACTCGAGATTAGTTAACAACACTCTAGATAGTTAGCCAGAGTAATAAAGTTACTCTAAAATTAAAAATTGTTTTCTGTTATTTGACAGTTGTAATATACCATATGTAACGTTTTTAATATATTTACCTTATATCCTATATTAATTTTATTTACACTGTTTGCATCCATTAAAAGAGAATTTATCTTTTAAGTGTTTATACTTAATTTCTGTTTTCAGCAGTGATGAACTGGCAATATTTTTCCTAAATCTTAGAATTACTCTAAACATGTTCAACTGGGTCAAAAAAAATACAGCAATAAGGCTTAGAGCATACAGTATAAGACTTAGAGCATATCTCGAAATTCTGATGGGGAATGTTAGGTATGGGAATGTGTGAAAAACCGCAGACGAAAACCGGAATGAAAAAAATATTTATGCATGTACTGGTTTCGAACTTTCCAACATTTCCAAATCCAGTTAAAAATTTCGATCTGAGAACTCTAATAAACGTTGTCAAAACTGCTATAAAAGGTAATTTTAAACTGAAAAGAAGTATAATGGAAGTTATGTGCCCTTTAGTCCTGCTTATTTATATGTAGTTACATGTGAACTCTTAGCTGTGTGAGTGTGCGTTTCTTGCAAAGGAACAGAATACTTGCTGCCTGCAAATGAGTACTACTTAATGAATTGAGACATATTCATTTACCTTTCAGTCTGTTATGCATCCGGTAGCCCAATTAAGTATAAATTCTTTTTGGTATGGAAGGATATTCAAGCGACATTGACTTGCAAATTGAATGTTGGAAATCGTTGAAACACAGCATGCTTCAATCACATATCCGAAGTATGCCATGAACAGGTGCTTATCGTATGAATTCTATGCTTGAATTCATTACGCATACTTAACATATGCTGAGAATATAATAAATTCATTATAACAGATATTTTTCTTTAATAAATTGATTTAAAATGTCCGTTTTTAATAAAAAAAAAAACAATTTTTAATATAAACTATTGTTTTCAGTAGAGAGAGAGGTTTTTTCCGAACAGTGAATCGCAACAGCAAAATTTTTTTATTGTTTTCAATCAACTGGATTTTCTGCGTTGAAGAAGGATTTTACTATATCTTCTTCAACGCAGACTTAAGCTTAAAACAATAATAGTGAGTTTACTATTATGTTTATACCAAAAGCTTGCAAATCATATGTATGAAGATTTTCAACTATCTTCTTAAATGTATAGTTTAAGCACCTTTTCCGTAAGTCTAAGAAATGGAGAAATTTCTGAATATCTATAACAGAACTATTTACCTAAATGATTCTCCAATAACCATACTACAATTTGTTGACTAACTACACGAATGCTCAGTTATGGTCATACATAGTCTATATATATATATTGAAAACGTAATTCACGTAAAACAAACTGGTTCATATAGCTTTATCGAAGTCATAGGATTCATCAACAGCACATTGCATATGCTATCCATGTAAATATTCGTGATAATCGGATAGACAATAATAGAGTTAATGGAGTCAGAACACAATCTGTAATAGTCACTATATCTATCTACAAGGCATTCTCTCCTACTTTTGAAATTAGTTATAGATCATTTTCTAAACCTGCTTAAAGAACATGGAAAAGGGTATGCAGACAACCTTTTCATTTATATAGCTGGTCCCAATTAGCTCTTGACTACAAGAAGCTTTAATGCAGGCCATTAAATGGCGTGAATAAAAAAACCTTACTACGAGTTTCAATTTAAGCACATATAAATATCTTGGTATTGTCGCCTAAAAGATTCTCTTTTTAAACTGAAAACTTTAATATACTGTCAATTAGGCCACAACAGAAAACATAAAGCTTAACTCAAACAAACAAAAAAACAACGAAAATTAGATTAATAATTGCTTACTATACTGTAATCACATATTGCAGTATTAGTATTATAATCCAGTAATACGGGGGTCAAGAAAACCAGTTCTACACATACACTGGCTATCATCTAAGATATACCTACGCTTAACATACTATTTAATTTTACAAAAAAAATGTTTTCCTGAATTTTATCTCCAAAACATTAGTTAGATGATGAGAAGAGGAGCCAAAAATAGGTCTATTGGATTAAAACCATTCTGTATTCTGATGCCGGATGAATTCCCAATTCAAAAAACTGATGAGTACTTCTTAACTTATTCAACTTATTATT